CTGCTGTTGCTGCTCCTGGTCTTGCTGCTGCTGCTGCTGCTCATCGTCCTGCTGCTGCTGCTGCTGCTGCTGCTGCTCTACGGCAGCAGACATCTGCTCGCGCGGCGAAGACGGGAATGAAGGGATGCGGGGAACCCTCGGCTGCTTTGCTGCAGCTTCCGCGTGCTCTACTGCTGCTGCTGCTGCTGCTGTTTGTTGCTGCTCTGGACTCCGCTGCTGATGCTGCTGCTGCTGGTGCTGCTTCTGCTGCTGCTGCAGCAGCAGCTCCCAAACCGTTTGTGCTTCCCGGGAGCCCCGCGGAGTAGCAGCGATAGAGCTCTGATCTGAAGGGAAGCGGATGGGGTACTCATTGCTGCCGCTTCTGCAGGTCATGCCTTGCTGCTGCTGCTGCTGCTGCTGCTGCCGTTGCTGCGCTGGCAGCTGCTGTTCATGACGCAGCAGCCGCCCCCAGTTGCCGCCGCCGCTGTCTTCGGCATCCTCAGCCCCAGCTAGCATTGGCAGGGGGCGGTTGGGGGCTGCTGTTGCTGTTGTTGCTGTTGCTGCTGCTGCTGCTGCTGCTGCTGCTGCTGGCGATGCTACTGCTGCCGCTGCTGCTGCTGCTGCTGACCCGCAGCAGCAGACAAGGAGTTATGAGAGCCTGTAGAGGCTGTAGTCAGAGCAAGTGAGCTGCTTTAACTGCAGCAGGAAGGGTTTAGTGCTGCGCGTGGGGGCCCCCAGCAGCAGCAGGGGGCCCCCCTGTCTGCTGCTGCTGCGATAGGCAGCAAGCAGCAGCAGCAGCCTGTACACCGGAAAAGAAGCCCTAGCTAGCCAAATGAAAACAATTTTATAGTTTTCAAACAAAAAAGAATTCTAGAAGAAACAACTCTGCGTCGAGAGCTCGCGCAGATCAAGGGTTTAGGGTTTAGGGTTTAGGGTTTGCGAGATGGCAGAGGCGGCCAAGTTCTTGCTGCGATCTCTGGGACGCTTCCACTTTTATTAGGGCAACTCTGCAGCTTTAAAATTAAGGGTTTATGGTCTCCAACCCACTTAGGGTTTAGGGTTTAGGGCTTAGGGTTTAAGGGGTTCAGGATTCCACTGGTTTAGGGTTTAGGCGCATGCGTCGCTGCAGAGCTTGTCTGCGGAGTTTAGGGTTCAGGGTATAGGGTTTAGGGTTTAGAACCCTCAACGCCCAAACCCTCACCCACAGCAAACCTGAGCAAGTCCTGCCCGTTGCTGAAGTTTTAGGGTTTAGGGTTTAGGGTTTGGAAGTCTAGACAAGCAAACTTGGCTTGCCCCTGAGTAAGCCCGATGTCCATTCCATCTCTACAAGTCGCCACTAGCTTGCTACTAGCTAGCTAGCCAGCCAACAAGCTAGCTAGACAGCTAGCTGGCTAGCTAGCTGGCCAGCTGGGCATATGGCTGTAGCGGTAAAGCTGGCCAGTTACCTAGCTAGCTGGATGTAAATGCGTCACTGGCTAGCTTGATAGCAAGTTGTAGATACAGAACTAGCTAGCTAGCTAGCTAGCTAGCTAGCTAGCTGTAGCTTCTGGCTGGCTGTAGCTGCTGGCTAGCCGTAGCTGCTAGCTGGCTAGCCACCAAGCTAACTGTAGCTGCGCGCGCTAGCTAGCTAGCTGTAGCATGCAACGAATGCAGCGCTAGCTGGCCTTCAGCTAGCTAGCCAGCTAGCTAGCTAGCTAGCTAGCTAGCTGACAGCTAGCGGCAGCAGCTAGCTAGCGAAAGAAGGAGGCAAAGGGGCGTGGCCGAGCTGCCCGCAGCAGCTAGCCAGCTCGCTAGCTAGCTAGCTAGGCAGCTGTTTGCTGCCGCCCTTCTTCCTTTTATCTCTTTTGTTCATTCATTCTTTTCATTTATTGCATTTCTTTTTTCCTTTTCTTTTTCTTTTTTCTTTTGAAGACACTCCAGACTAAAAATTGGACACCAAAAAGTCAAATCCTTTTTCTAGGATGTATGTAAACCCTGTTGCTTCGGGGGCTCTTTAACTTCTAGCTAGCTAGCTAGCTAGCTGCAGCTAACTAGCTAGCTGCAGCTAGCTAGCTAGCTAGAAGCGGACAGCTAGCTGCCGATAGCTGGCTAGCTGCAGATAGCTAGCTAGCTGCGGATAGCTAGCTAGCTCCAGATAGCTGGCAAGCGGCAGATAGCTAGCTAGCTGCAGGCATCTAGCTGCGGCTAGCTAGCTGCAGGCTTGTAGCTAGCTGCGGCAGCTAGCTAGCTGCAGCTAGCTAGCTGCAGCTAGCTAG